ATAATTAATTACAGTTAATTATTTTGTTGGTATTTTATTAACCATTGGCTAAAAGTGTTTTGTGGTTTTTTTCCCAAATCTATACTACTTCAGGCTTTCAGTGAAGTAGCCTGTAGCTACCTGCTTTATTTACAAGGGGGTTGCAATGACATGATCAGTGCTTCCTTAATGATCAATTAACACCCTTTGAAACAAGTTCAGAGAAGATATATGAAATGTTCCGGGTCTGCACTGGCTTGTTCACATGCTAAATCAGCAGCATTAGGGAACCACCAAGCATGCTAATTCAGAAATGTTCTTCCTTCAATCTTTCAGCCAGGCTTCACAATATTAATGCTATTTCTAATAAGAAGGGATTTGTTATAGAGGGACTGAGGACAAGCTGCTTCTCAAATATTGTAACGTGTTGGACTGGGTTGCAAAGATCACTTTTTTGTGTTTCCTTGTGCATCCACAGGGCTAAGAAAAAGTTATTTGTTTTCCTTCCAACTACTTACAATTTAAAGCCATGGCAGACACACAAAACCTGCTTGATATCACTGGAGATTTGTGTTTGGGTAATTTGTGACCTGTTTGTGATTTGTGCGTGAACTTAATTTAGTAAACATAAAGATCTTTCTTCATGAGAGCCCGTTTTCCATAAAATGGGATGGGTGTGTTGTCTTTGTCACAACACTGTTGAGGGACAGTTTAAATTAAAAGGAATGCACTAGGAAGGAACAAAGGAATTTTGAGTTCACTGCTACAAGAAACTGTTCAATGTTAGGAATGGAATGAAAGTCTGAATTATGGGTCCAATAAAATCCAGGATAACCAACTGCTTGTTTTTTTACCTAAAAAGAGCAAAGGAAATAGACCTGAAGTTTTCAATCCCTCTCGCTACCTCTGATGGTCAGTTAAGTGATTCAGTTAACTGACATGAATTGTAAAGTAAGCTCAGGAGCTACCTAATAAACAAGTGACTATTATTTATATATAAAAGTACAACGTATGCATGTCCTTGTACAGGCAAGAGTGAAAGGCCTTGTGTGAGCATGTGGATGAATGCTTATGGCACACTTCATTGAGCAAGTTGAAGCCAACTCTTTAACATATTCATACATAGATTGATCATGTTTCTGAGACCACCTTTTAAAGAACTTTTCAGTAAAAAAATGCAGCAAAGTTCTTTGGGAATTTTTCTAAGGAGATCCTTCAAGCTGGAGTGTCTGAAACACTGGAGACATTTACTGAGAGACACTTTTGGGCAAAAAGTACAAAAGAGACTTTCTCAAGAGGTGGTGTTTGATCACTACAGCAGGCACCTTAAATACATCATGTCTTGAATTGGAGTTCAGATGGGCAATCAAGTTACTGCTGCATTAAACTTTTTCACACTTCAGCTGAGCCACAATGACTGTTTGTGGGCATGTCTTTAGTCACAGAAAATTACAATGCAAGGTTGAACAACATCCTGCTCTATATGGTGGAGGAAGGTGTGCAGCTGTTGAGCGTGGTGTTTTGTGTGTGCGTCCAGGCAGACAACTGAAGGGTTCTGAAATCCATGCCTGACTTAACTCAGACTGTGTCTTTCCTTACAGTTATTCTAGGCTGAAAGCAGGCATGAGGACAGCTGCCATCACTCAGTTAATGTACAGTAACCTGTTCCTTCAAACAGACAGTGTGTGAATTTAGAGAACTGATCCTACCACCTAAACCCACAGCACACATCCTGCATAGTCACTTCCTTTGCAATAAAGAAATAAAGAAAGAAATGCATTTTTGAGTCCTCTGCTGCAAAGATGGAGACCCACATATACGGATTCAGAGGCTCCATTGTGGCAGCACCAGGACTCTGGCAGTGGGTGTGACCTTTTTAAATATCTCCCGTTATTGACAGCCTTAGGAAAACATAATTCTGTTCTGCAAACCTGCAGCAGGTTTTGGGAAATGACCTGGCAGAAGATTTACAGACAAATCTGAAGAACTCACTAAAGGTTAATATCTAAATTTAAGTAATTTCCCTGTTTCCCTCTATTAATACTTTTCATACTAGTGGACTCACAATTAAATTTTCCTGCTGAAATGATTTCAGGGCATTAGCTTTGCCCATTTAAATATTTTTCTTTTCCTCTGCTGGTCTTAATGGTGAAAGAGAGTATTTTCTTAATCATTGTCTTAAATTCCTTTAGCTCTATATTTGGAAAACATTATAGATTTCATTTTAAAAAAGCCTTTTGGAGGATTTTTTTTTAAATTCCAAGTCCAGTGTTACTATTTTACACAAAATAGTAACGTTTTTCTTACGTGGCAAGTTTTTCTTACTGTTGTCACATTTAACATGTTAAATTCTTAACCTTTTTTTGTTTTCTCAAAAGATTTCTATCTGCCTCCATTCCAAAATTACATATTTGCTTTCATAGTTACATTACATAGTCAGCTTTCTTTCCTAAATAATTTAGCTTTTATAAAACAGAATAACAACATCTCTTAGGACTTGCTTTATAACAAGCTTATATATCTACTTTACTTTTCAAAAGACAGAGGGCAATTTCAGATAAGAGGACACAGAATAGGTAGAAGCAGACTGAATTGCCAAGTATTTCTACAGGGGTATTCACTATATATTTGGTAGTATTCTTACTGTCTTTCCCTTTACAGAGCTGTCAGTGATTAGAGTAGGAAATAAATCTTATAGGATTTGGCCAGTATATCTACATAAATATATGTCAGTATAAAACAGTCTAAATTACAATATGCATCAAAAACTACCATCTTCATGTCATGTGTACAGGCTGACAGTGCTGACTGTTTGGGTAAACACTGTAGAGGAAATATACATAATTCAATTTATAATTGCCTTTCTGTGGAAAGCACCCATACCCTGAGATTTCTTTGAAGCAATCCTTTGCTGAGCAATCCTTTATCCTATCCATTGCAACTTTGCATTCACTAATCTCCCTAGACTTTGCAAAAGAGGAAAGTGTTATTATCAAATCACAGCAGACAGGAAAATTAAGGTGAAGTATCCTCTTCCAAAACTTGATGGAAATGGCAAGGGAGGATGAAAGGGATAGGGTGTTTACATCAGTGACAATCTTAGTTGTAAGCTTTAAAGTCTACAGTACTGGCAGCTTCTCAGCTAGAGGGTCCCAGACTCTGGGAAGGTGGAAGGCATGAGGCTGACTGGCTTCACTGCCCTGGCATTGCACCAGGCTGCATCAGACTGAGAGGATGCACAGAAGTCCTCTTCCTTGGCCTTTCCTTGCTACCATCTTGTTGGGATGGGGGTGATGCTGCTCATGCCAGGATGCAATGCAGAGGACCCCACTCTCCACAGGCAGTGAGCTGCCTCCTCCCAGCACTCATGCACGTAGTGATGACAGGCAGAGAAACTGGAGCTGGTTCCCCACCCCGCCTTAGATGCGTGTGTCAGACCTCTGAGCTGTCTTTGGAGCTGTGTCTGCAATGCACTGCGCTTCAGCTGATTCCATAACATGAATCTTGGAAAGGCTTTTTAACTTGGAAGCAGCGGTGTGCAAATGTGACTATGCCAGTTCCAGACTTACATTGCTAATCAATTCTGCCTGTGCTGCTTGCTTTACAGAACCTTTCCTGCTGAGGCCTTTGATAGATGAAAAAATTCTTCTACTTTTTGTGTCATATAGTGTGGATATATGCTAAGTATGTCAAATCCACAGGGTGAAATGACAGCATTGAGCAATCAGACTCTAATACACTGTATGTTAACATCCCCACTTAGTTGTTTGTAATGGGGAGTCTGGTGCCTAATTAGTGCAAAACTCACTATTCTTGTTAAACTCTGGTCAGCCCTATTGCAAAAATCACTTCAGTTGGTCAGCTATTAGCCATGGTGGGAGATTATATTTACAAGTATTTATTAATTACAAAATTTCAACTTCCTGCAAATTCAGGGTGACAGCTTCTTACAGACATCCTGCATATCTGAAGAGGAGAACATGTCTCTTTAATGTGATCTGTTCTACATTGCATGTAAAAAGGTGAGGGAATACAGGTTTTAGTAGCTCCTTCTGGGAATAAAGCTATTCAGGATATAGAGATTCAAGTCTTGGGCTGGCTAACGGGACATAAACCTGAAAATTACAAGTAGGTTTAAATTGCATTTGCAGTAAGCAGTACAAACTACTGGTTATTCACATGCCGTTACTCCAGACTTGCTGTTGATTCTGCTGGGTCCCTTACTAACTGACTTCTGCTGCTTCACTAAAAGGTTTTTACTGTACCTATGATTAAATATTTTTTAAATGCAAGCAATGACAATGAGCAGGAAAAGTTCTTTCAGCTCAAAGCAGAATAAGAAAACCAGGAAGGAAAGGAGAGTATTACAGAGGCTAAACCACTGTGATTGTTCCATTCTTATTAGGAATGCATCTCACTTTCCAAATATTTTTTAATATTGCTCTAGAAGAACTTAGGAGTTTAGGACTGTAATGGTGCTAAGTGAAATGCTTTTATTTAATGAAAGGTGCAGCCTCAGGCTGAAAATCCAAACATTTTTTAGCCAAACATTTATTAAGGAGAAATCCTTCCATCAAAAAAATCTGTATCTGCCAATACAGCCTTCAGAGTATGCACATGGAAGATGGAGACTTGGGACTGTGGAAAGCAAGTGTTTAATAATGAAAAAGTTCTCCATTTTAGAATCTTATTTAATTTTGGAAAGCAGCATTTTAAAAAAGAAAAAAATGGAAAAAATAGCACTCTATATTTTTACATATGTAAAATAATAAATGTAAACCAATTTAAACTACATTTTATTTCCTTTCTAAAATCACCAAAAGTAGTAAAATATATTTTTCTTCTTTTTCCTCAGAAGTTCCTATGCTTAATTGATATTAGAAGTATGAGGCGTATAGGTCTAGACACTAGTTACAGAACATCACAGTGCTGCTCTGAGCTTATTTTGTTAATCAGGCTGTTGGTTCTCTGTGGTTACTTGTAGGAACCATATAGACAGACAGGTTATGATTATTCCTTACCAGCTCATTGCTGCCATCCTCATCAAAATCCTCCTCTATCCCATCAGTCATATCTTCTCCATCCCCATCTGCATCTGGCCCTCCTTCAATTGGCTCTTCCGTAGAGTTATCTGCATTCTCTGATATGCATTCCTCTTGAATCAAATCAGCATTATCTTCCATTTGTTTCTTTTGGGCTTCTGTAAGGAAAACATACTCTATGGAGATTCAGTAACCTTTCCTATTGGTGGTAAAGGAAAGTGCTCTGAGAAGAAACCTAAACTTCCATCTCCAGATGTACTAGATTTGTAAAATTCTCTGTGTTAATGTCTACCAGGCAAATATGATTGAAAACTGCTTTCAAAAATTAGTGCATAAATAAATCACAATATTAATATGATCATCTACCCCATTTATGCCATTCAGTGGATGAAGTCTTGATTTGCCAGTAGATACAGCTTTTTGATTTTCTGTATTTGACTTTGCCTTGGAATCCAATTGGCAAAGAAGTTTATTCATGTGCAGCCAATGAGAAGTGCATAAATATCTATGCTCTGAGAAGCAGAAGGCCGTTAATTGCCAATAAATGAGTAAGAATTTGCATTAATTTACTGTGAATATATTTTAACAGTCATACAAGTAATCAACAAATACTTTTAGACAGGTGAACGTGTTTTTATGGAGTAAAGTATCCGTTACTCCTCATTGGTATAGTGTGCTGAAGTAACTGGAGAATGTCCCCCTCCAATCAACCAAATATTGGCTTCCTATATTTTCTGCAAAGTGGTAAAAAAGAAAGGCCATTTCCATGAAGGCCTGAAGAATCTGTTCTGGTTGAATTCTTGAGGGTAGCTACATTGTTTTGACTAGGTATTAGGAAACTCCTGGATATGCTGAGGAACTTCATCCAAACAGCAGAAATCCAGAGGAAGATTGATGGAAGAATGACAGAGACTGACTGGAAAGAAGAATGTTTGGAGGGATCAGAGTCTTATTTCTATGCATGTCAGGAATTTATATGAAACACTTTATGTACTCAGAGTGAATCAGGCCAGAGAATTGGTTGCATGAAGCTAGAAAAATGTTTTTTCAGTCTGAGGGTGATCAATGACAGAATTTCTAGAACAAAATATTTCTTGCTTTGTAAGACTGACTGCTCTGCAACACTAGTAGCTAAACACCTATCTTGTTGGACAACCAATGAATTAAGTGTTGCCTTGAAGCTCTATATTTTTGAAGCTCTATTATTTATTTACCACAAGTTATTACCAGCTACACATACTATTCAAATCTGATGGCATTTTTCTGTTCCATAGTCTTAAACCAAGACATTTGTTTTACCTTGTGACTTTGCACATTTATTTTGCCACTTACATTCATCTATTTAGTCTTCATTTGTCTTTAGTCCCTCATTTTCAACTTCACTTAGTGAAGAAACAGAAAAATTAAGCTTTCCTCCCTCAGTCAACTAATGTCTTCAGAAAGATTCTTAGATTTAAAGAATACAAAAGTCATCTTAGACAGCTGCTTTGACAGTACTGTAGTCATATATATTAGCAGAAGATTCAGCCCATGGAGCCTTATCTTCTGTTGGTAAGGTGCTCCATACAATGCCATGCTAGTTAAAAGTGATTGTGTTACTTGCCTTATGCATAAGGAAATATGGGTTGAATAATCTATGCCTTCTATGTCTGGCCCTACCACTTCCTGTCTTAAGCCGCTTCTGACATCACTCAGCTCTGGCAATGACAACTGAATCAATTTTGGCTAAGGCTTTTAAAAACAAGGTTGCTGAATTGATAGACAATCCATTTAAATGGGAAACCTTCTAAGATACAGCTGCTAAAAAATTAGGTCACTTAGTTAATTGTCTTAAACTCAAGTACCTAACTTTGAGCCTAATTATAGCCTAATCTCTAATATTAGAGAATAGTCTCTAAATATTTTTTTTTTGCATGTCAGAACAGCTTATTCCCAGCTTCCCAGTTCAGATTTTTGCAAACAAAGGAGCTATTTCTACAGCTTTCCTATGTACAGGAAATCCTATTTTCTATATTCCCCCTATTGGAAAGGTTAGGGGTTGGTAACAGAAAAAGCCAGAACATCAGCTTTTACTGCAAGAACAGTTTTCATGCAACTGTAGAGCAGTAACCAATGTATGCACTGAGCTTGTCCAGCCTGTAACATCACATTCCTCCAGATGTAAAAACTTTTAGGATTAAAAATTAAATATTCTTCAGGAGAGCGAGTCAAACTTAGAAAACCAAAAGAGCAAGATGATGGCTTGATTTTTGCTTTGTGCAAATGAGAAACAGATCCTCTCTCTGATCCCAGTCTTAGTGAGGCCACACCTTCTGGCAGAGGAAAATAAGAAATAATATTGCCAAACCATAGAGAAGGAACAAAATCATCTCATCATCTCCCACTTGACACTCTAAATTAAATAGTTCAGCTGCTGATGTAGCTTACACAAATATTTTTGGGTCTGCATGCTAATAATCCAGGCTGCATAATCCTCTTCATCACCTTCATCAGTTTAAGGAAACTTAAATGGGGTTCCATTCTTACTGGTATCTTTGAGGTGTTTTTCTCCTCCCACCCTCCAATGGGAGGCAAAGAATATGAGGGATGGGTTCTGCGCCTGATGTTTTAAAACATCAATATTTTGTAAACATTTTTTAATATCCGAGGATATTCATTGCATGTCTTCAGAAGCCATACGACTGTGACTCAATACGAATCAACATTTTTCTTTTTGACCTGATTTCTATTTAAATAAGACCACTACAGTCCTTTAGAAAAAGTGAAAATTGAATATCAAAGTACAACGATCTGTAGATTGTTTTGCATAGTAATGGATTTTTTATAAAAGCTCCCCAAGGTAGCACAATCAAGAGTATTTCAGTGCACAAGTGATTCCATGGAATGCTTTGCAATTATGTCTTCACCAATTATACCAACTTTTATCCAGCTTGCATAAAGTACAAAATAGAATCTAATGAATACGTATTGTGCACAGATCTGAAAGAGGTAATCACACTCTCTACTAATGATTTACCTTAGACTTGTAAAAAGCCTTTAACTTTGTGAGATAAACTGTAACAGCTGGGGGACTGGTCCTTGTCTGTCAACTTAGAAAATTATTGTAAAGAAAAGGTAGGTTATTTTTCAAACAATTTTTTTTTAAAAGTTACTTGGGAACAGCAGGCATCCATATCTAAATTCCTATTTTGGCTGTGTCAGGTTTGTAACCTTCAACTGCTAATCCCCAGTAATGTTTTAGACAATCTTGATGGAATTCTCTTTATGTGTCCTGATGGGTTTTTGGCTTCATGTAACTAACTGTTGTCCAGACACCCAGGCAGTTGTGGATTCTGAGGCAGAATTTATTTCACACATTTCACACAAAATTCAGGAAAAGGTTTTATCACAGAATGGAGGGATGAAAAAAAATAATTGAATTTTTCATGAGATAAAGCATCCATTTCCATGCTGACTCTCACAAAATCAACTCACTAATATAAAGCTCCTGTAAAAATATGCATGTGATCTATAAGGAAATAGCAAAGAAAATGCCATAGACAGGCATAAGAACTGAGTTTGTTTTTTATATATACCATGGTGAAAATACAAACTTATGACTCTCAGGATGACTTTAAAGTGCTGCCAGGTGAGATCATTCATCTAAGAAAATGAATAATTCACTGACTTGATTAAATTATGAAGTAGTATTGGATTTTTTCATTCCTAAGTTTTGACTAAAACCAAAACATTTTAAGCCAGAAAAAGGCAAAACTAGAGCTGTAACAAGTTTTATGAAGAGGCCTGAACTTCACTCAATAACTGAGGCTGGAAAGTATCTCTGGGCTCTCCAAGTCCAATCCCTCTTCAAATCAGGGACAAACTCAAATTTTAGCCCAGGTCCATGGGTCCTGAGCCCAATGAGTTTTGAATGTTTCCAAGGATGGAGCCAGTATGGCCTTTCTGGTCAATTCACTATACTGCTCAGTATAATCTCTTTTCCTTATATCAGACAGAATTTTTTTCCTTGCTTCAGCTTGTGCCTATTACCTACTGCTTACTGCCCAGGCAATAATTCTTGATATACACCATCTATTAATACTTAATGTGCCTAGCACATCCATCCCCATGGTTAAAAACTTCTAGCTTGATTCTTCTCAGTTTTTTAGTGATGTCTTGTTTCCAGAACAACTAGAAAGATTATTTTTTCCTACTACACCATAAAAAACAAGTCTTAAGGGATGATACATGTCCTGTGAAGAATATTAATCTATTCTCCCAGTAGTTTTACCTGAGAGTTGATTTACCTGGTTTCAGTCCTCCATTAAGTACCAAAATTTCAGAATGCTTCAGTTCTTTTTGGTCTGTCTGCTTGACTGGTAACAAGGTTCTAATTTAATTCATTTCACTAAAAATGGCTTTTACCTACCTGCTTCAGCTTTTTGCTGCTTTTCAATCTTTTCCAGTCTCCCTAGCAAGGAGTCAATTTTTGTTTTGATTTGAGTTAATTCTTTCTTGATTGTTTGCAACTCATCTGATTTCACTGTGGAAAGAGAGCAAAATGCAAAACATGAAATAAACTATATTTGTGGTAACGTCCCCTCCCCTCCAAGCAAAACGTTCTTTTTTTCTTTTCTGTCTAGTAGAAAGTCTACTCTCTCATTTTTGTCAATATTTTCAGAGATTTAGCTTTTAAAATTAGTGTTGTTAGTTAAAAATGCAGAATCCTAGAAACCACAGGATTCTAAGCCTTATTGGCAAGAGTCCATGAAAGGTGTGTTGCTCAGTAATAGCCATTTCAGGAAGAACATCTCAAAAAACATCTTCATAAATCCAAGCAACTTTTACTCAAAAACAGCTTATAGTGAAAGAATAATTCAAATATGACAGACAGATCACAGTCGTGCAATGTTATTTTGCTGGGTTCTTTTGTAATAATATTGACAAAAATAAATAGATCCCTTACAGTATGTATTTGTCAGCAAGAGTGAATGGTAATATAAGTGCTAGGGCAGCCAGGAATTCAAGGTTATGTTCCAGCCAAGAACTCATTGCAAAAGGTGTCATGTTTGGTTGCTTCAAAAGCTTTCAGTTCAGTTTTAGTTGGCAATTTCTTGTACTTTTACCAGCTATGGGTAATATATGGAGATATTTCATTTTATGATCACATTCAAGGATGTGAATGGAGGCATCACACTGTAAATTATTAGTGAAATTTCAAAATCTTTACTGTACTGATTTACTCTTCATTTTTATTTATTAATGTGCTCCCATCATCTAACCTAAGAAGGAGTAAATGCATTGGAAATGTTTTAGCTCCAAAAGAAACAGTGCTGCAGCCCTCATAAATTACCTCATTATTTTGGCATTATCAGAACATATGTTTTATGCTCAGAAGGTGGCCCAAGCAAATACACTTGCCCTGTTTGTGCTAGGGAGCCTGGGAAAAGGGGTGTTTGCTATGAAGAAGAATCTTTCTGTCAAAAGGGTCTTCTGGCTGCATCTTGCTGCATCAGTCCTGTTCATTGATGACATTGGCCATGTCTGGTATCATGGTGTCCCAGGTAATTTGCATTGGGCAATGAATCTTATGATGAAGTGTGAAGACAAGCTATTGCCTGATTCAGTGATTCGCCTTATTCCAAATTTGTAACATATTCACTGAGGCTGAAACCAGAGATTTTTATCTTAGAGTTTGGGCCATGTGCATTAAAATATAACACGTCAGCTAAAAGCCATAGGTTGCTATATGCAGTATTGCACTTGTTTAATCGTGCTTATATGGAGAAATTGCATTATCTCACTGTATAGGCTGAAACCTCTGATCTCACATGGAATGAACAGAAGGACTTAAAGAAAACAAAACCATGAAACTAACCTTTGTGCTAGACTCTTATATGCTATATGGTATTTGATGGAATTATTTTGTGTATTTATAGAATGAGGGTTTAAAATGTTCTTAGAGAAATAACGGGTCATTCTCCAATCCCACAGATCTGAAATAAATTGTTGAGTCTGACAACTAAATATTTAGAAGGTTACTGAGTCCCCAGGGGCAGTTGATGGTCCATGTTGGAGTAGCAAGGTAGCTCAGAATCCAGAGTGAAATGGTGAGGAATGCTAAGTGCTGGCAGCAACCCACTATGACGCCGGTTGGCAATACATTCCATGCAGCCAAACTGTTGTGTCAGGGATGCTCCCTTGGCTGACAAACTGCAGGCTGGCCAGGCCTGAAAGGTCAGACCCAGAAGTGACACTGCAAGGACCTAATTTATTTCCAGTCTACTAAGCAAAGCAGAAGACATTTGCACTTCTGAGTTTGACAAGGAAACATGCTCATGCGTAGCACTGCTATTCAACTCAGGTCTGCTGCACAGGGGCTTCCATGTGGTGTTTCTGGAAAAACAACACTTCGAAGAAGATGGCACTAGAAGGAACAAGACAACAACGAGGATTCCAGGAACAAACCAAAGTGGTAAAGGAGAAGGGGGTGCTGGGCAACAGATGACTGAACATGAGCCAGTGTGTGCCTAGGGGGCCAAGATGGCCAGTGGCATCCTGGTCTGTATCAGCAACAGTGTGGCCAGCAGGACCAGGGCAGTCATTGTCCCCCTGTACTGAGCACTGGTGAGACACCTTGAGTGCTGTGTTCAGGTCTAAGCGCCTCAGTTGAAGAAAAACTGAGGTGCTGGAGAGTCTCCAGAGAAGGGCAATGAAGGCAATGAGGCTGGTGAAAAGTCTAGGGGGCAAATAATATGAGAAGTGTTTGAGGGAGTTGGGGTTGTTTGGCCTGGAGACCTTATCATTGTGTACAACAAACTGAAAGGAGGTTGTAGATAGGTGGGAGGTGTCCACTTCTCCCAGATAACTAGTGATAGGGCAAGAGGACATAGCCTCAAGCTGCACCTGGGGAGGTTCAGGTTGGATGTTAGAAGTAATTTCTTTATGGAAATGGTTGTTAAACATTGGAAATGACTGCCTAGGGAGTCACCATCCCTGCAGGTGTTCAAGAAACCACTGTCTGACATTAATACTATGGTCTAGTTGACAAGGTAGTGAGCAGTTAAAGGCTGAACTGGACAATCTGGAGGTCTCTTCCAATCTAAATGATTCTATGATTCCATGATCATAGAGTCATTTGCTTCAAGTTAACACTAAAAAGGACTGAAAGAAAAAAGAAAAATAAATCTCAACCAGTCTGCACAATTGCCAAACTTTCACTCTGTTTCCAAAATTGTGATGGTGTAATTATTTGAACTGCTTATTGTTTTACCTTGTGAAGGATTGTACAAGTCTTCAAAATTATTATCCTAGAGAAAATCCACTCTCAATTATACTGTAGTGAGTATTTCTGTAGTAAGCAGCAACTACTAAAGACAAATTATGAAGGACCCTGACGAAAAGTAACTTGAGCATGAGCCAGGTCTTTTCCTTGTCACAGTTTAACTGCATCCAGCAAATGAGCACCACACAGTTGCTCACTTCCTTCCAACATCCAGAAGGATAGGGGGAAGAAAATAAGGAGGGTAAAAGTGAGAAAACTCATTGGCTAAGAAGAGTTTATTAATAGAAATACAATATAATGATGATAATAATAATAACAATAATAATAATAATGAAAAGGAAAACAACAGAGAAATAAAGTCCAAGAAATAAAAGCAATGCAAATTAAGACACGAACAGATGACAGATGCTCTGAACAAACCCTGGCCAACCTTCCACTTAATTTATTGTTCCACTGCCTGGAACATTCCTTTGGCCATCTGGGGTCACCTGTCCCAGATGTGTCCCCTCCCAGTTCCTTGTGCATCCCCTCCTGCTCATTGGTGTCATCAACACTGTTTCCAAGAAAAATTCACAACACAGCCCCATAGTAGCTACTGAAAAGAAAATTGAGTGCTGCCAAACGTAGCACACCACTCTACCCAGCATTTGTGAGGCCACATCTGGAGCACTGTGCCCACATCTGGGCTCCTTGGTACAACAGGAAACGAAGAAGACAAAGCCAGACTCTTCTCATTAGACCCCACTGAAGACCTTTGGCATAAATTAAAGCATAACATTCTAATCTAAACATGAGAATTTTATTTTTTCTTTCCATGGGTGTGGTCAGACACAGTCCTGGGAAATTTGTTTTGCAGAGCACTTGCAGCAGAGGAAGGGGCCTCTGGAGCAGAGGAGCTCCAGAGGCCCCTTCCAAACTCAACCATTCTGTGAGTCTGTGATAGCACTTGGCAAGAACTTCAGGCTTTTAAAGCAGTATTATGATAAAGATAAAATGTAAAGATTATAAATTCTGTGCTCTAGGTGTCCTGCTTTGACTATATAAATTCTTCTTTAAAACATCATGTATTTTTTTCAAGTTGATCTCAGGCAAGAAATAAAGCCATTGGTAAATATGACACCAGAACTGCATGTATCCAAAATATCTGTTCATCTGCTTTTGAGCAATAGAGTAGGAAATTAAAGTAAATTACTCTTTGGGAATTTTTTCCCAATTAACAGATAAAATAAAGGACAGCAGATAACAGAAATGTACATATTGAATGGGAGAATAATTATTAATGAAGTTAGTAATGGCTAAATATCTTCAACAACTCTGATGCAAAAATGTAAATAAACAGGTGAAATTTGCTAATGACATGAAATTGAAAGATATCACTTATTCAGAGTAAACTGGAATGGAAAAAGAGGTCAAGTGATTTAAAGGAATGATATATTAGAAAAAAAAAAGATAAGATTTCACTGAAAAAACCTCTACACTTCACAACAGAAGTCCTACTCTTAGCATCAAGGCTCATCAGCAGAAGAAGACAGTGACAGAATTGTCCTTGGGTTGATAACAGAATATCACTATCTGCAACCATGAGAAGGAAAATGCAGTGCTAGGGCATGTCAAATGATGTATTGCTAAGGATGGAGAAGTGTTTTGTCTCTGGATGAGGACCTGGTGAGTACAGGTTGAACCACTGAATTCTAGCAGGTACATGTGGAGAGCAGCTGTGAAGATGACCATAAAAATGGAAAGCCATTAGTGTGACAGAAGCATTTTTCTTGTTTGCTGAAGACAAAAAAAGGTAAAAAGAAATAACACTTTTATGCTAAGACAGTGTTGGAACAAAAAAATAGAATATGAACAAATGAGAAACAAACTAAGCTGGAAATTACAAGAAACAGAAAAAACGCAAACCCTAACTATTTTTAAGATTTATCTTAAAGGATTAGATGATGATGCTATTTGCAAGAGTAAGAAATTTGAATCAGTGACACTTTCTAGCCCTTTGTGGCCTTCTAGAATGCATCTTTCATTAAAGTATATAACACGAAAGTAGACAGTCACATCCACTGCATTATAAGAGGAATAAATTAAGGTCAATTGCATTTTTAAAAATGAAAGTGCTACTGTTGAACTATAGCTTTTTGTGAAAGATATTTTTTGCCTAACTGCAAATTGATTCATCTACAAAGCATGATTCAGATTTATTTGGGAAGAAATGTCATATATTTTTAACTAAACCCTTAATGTTTAATAAAAAAATATTTTATCATATTTTATTACTGTAGATATCACTGAAAAATGGATCAGCTGAAGAAGCTAAATATAAACTCTATGAGTCAAAAATTCATTTAAAGACATTATTCAATACATATTTTAAAGTCTGAAGTGTCCACTCCTTAATTTCAAGCACACAGAGTATAAAAGATTTGATTAATATTTTCCTCCTGATTTCAGATGTGTAAAATTAAAGTTCACACTCTGTGTGCTTCAATTTCTACATTGTAATAAAAAGTGAGCTCTTCCCAGTTCTAAATAGCAATTGGAATGTACTGCTTCATACCATTAACATGAAGAACTACTATGTGTGATTTATCCACCAACATGTTTAATTTTGTGAGTTACTTCTGTAATTTGGAAATGCTGATTTATGTACTTCTAGTCTTTGGAGTTAAAGAGAAAACAAGATATTGATAACTGTTCCTAGAAAAATGATGGATTTAAGAAAGGAATAAAATCTTCCTAATGTATTTTATGTTTTGGAAGCAGAGTTAAAACACATATTGTCACTTTTTGATCAAACAGGAGTTCACTGTGCCGGCAGATATTATTTCTGCAGATATGCTCATCAATGATCAAGGCATTTTTGATACTACGTTTTTTGTAATATCTTTGTGCAACAATAAACTTCTACCTTTGGATTTCTGCTTTTCTGAAGTGAGTCCTTTTGATTCTGGTGATTTCACTTGGGGGTGTCCTGTGTTCTGACCTTTAATATGACATGTATGGGTTCATTTTCTGGATCCTATCTGAGTGTGAACAGTTATATCTATGAGATTTCTACTTACATGTGAAAGGAAGTGATTTCATGAGAGTTTTGCTATATGGGGGTGAAATCTTCCAAGCATAGTCAATACCATTTTGACATTGTTAATTCTAAACTTGCAATTAAGGTGTTTTGTGCTCTTATACTTCATTAAACTCAAAATAGCTTCCTTCCCATGAACTATGTTTCTCCTTATTGAGGAATTTGTTGACTGTTTCTTGAATGTTTCTCCTTATTTACCTAACAATAAATTAACATTAGAATTGACATTGCATTAGTTCAAAGGGTTCAGATTAGCAGTGTAGATTAAGGAGCTACAAAATATTAAATTGCTTTCTCCCACAATTTAGCAGTGTAGAGTAAGAAGTGAAAATGGCAAAGGAAGTTGCAAAACATACCCTCTCTACCTTCCAAATTGAAGTTCTAAGGGAATGGCTCCACTACTTCTCTGATGAAGGTCTTACAATAAGCTGATTACATTCCTGTCTGAGTCAACAAAATCATGTTTCTACATATATGATGGGTTGACTGGAATTGACACAAAGGAAAGTAATTCTATGGGAAAATTAGGCATAAAAATCTGTATACTGGGTTTCTGACTCCTTTTAAAGATGCTACCTGCAGAAATATTTTGTGCAATTTATTTTATTATAATAAAAATCTGCATTTTTTTTCCAATTGTCATTGTAATGAATTGAGGATAGAAACCTAACACAGTCAAAAAGTCCATGTTTAAGTGACGCATCTTGCAGCTCTCCCTTCAGTTAAAGAGCTGGATCCAAGGACGATCTTGTCACCTGGAGCTCTAAGACTGACACTTAGAATTCAGATCACACCTGAATACACTGAAGGATACCTCCACTGGAGAATAACACTGTCTGTTTGCATCTGGACACTCCTGATTGCACCTCCATTAAATAATTTATAGTTTCTGCAATATTTGCCACATTTTGCAGGCAGTGTTTTGGAAATCTTGTGGCAAGTGCCTGTGGACAGTTGGACTAGGGTTGAATCCTATAATATATACTATGCATTATTTAAGTCCTAACACAGTATTACAAAGCATTTTTTGAAATGCAGAAGATATAAAGCAAATTTTTCAGTAGTTCCGAGGTACAAATATCTGTATATTAATGCAATATTCTCTGCCTCATTAACTACAATAGAAATTCAGGTTTCTGGGTGAGAGCTTTTCTTGACATCTGTTGGGATACAAACACTAAGATCCTCAGCTCTCTAGAAGAATTTTATAGTTATTCTTGGTCTGGACAATGAGAAAAATATATAAAAAAACTTATCTGAAAATAAACTCTCTTTTCATGGCAAATGGATCAAAAAAATCCATTGTTATTAATGCATATTTTAGGACCATTAGTCATTTGAATGCACTGATAATAACTGATAATACTGCTAAGTATTCATATAGATAAGACAACAGAAAATGATGAACAAATGAGATCTACAGCTTTAATTCACTGTGTGAAAACCCAAAGATCCAAGGACTGAAAAGGACTAACAAGTAATTTAAGTTCAAAGTTTCCTAAAGTGATCTTGAGCTGCTTCCTTTCTTTTATAAAATATGCGAAGAAAACATAATTTATTACTTAAAATATTTAGAAAAGGTTTACTTCAAAGTGAGTATGAATATGTGTAGGCTCATGTTCATTCTCCAGAGAACAAAGGAAATATTGCTACTCCCAGACATCCTCTTAGGGTCTGAGTGAGCTTCATAATGTGACACCTAAATTTAGATGTCTTCCTGTGTATTAGGCATCAAAGCTCTTGTTAGTGGTAATGGACATCCAGCCCATTCATTCCCTGGAGGCTTGGAAGTGATTTAAATGTACACACAACAGAGGCTCTGTCAAAACATTATCCTTTCCAAGGATGTCTTGAGCTCTTTGTTCCTGAGTGCACAACATTATCTTTAGCTGCGTTTACCCCATGTCCATTTTTTTCAGTCACATGTATTTACATGCTTATTACATGTTTTCCTTCCAGGTCTCTGATATCGTCAGGTCATACAATAGGGTCACGAATGGATCCTAATGGGCTCATGAGGCCCATATCAAAATATTTGATACTAGCATGTAAGATTTGAATGTGTTATTCAAACAGAGTATATGAATGGGTCCTGTAGATGCCATAATTAACTCCTCTGGCAGTAAGATGTACTGTTGATGGGTTCACCTTTTTCATGGTAAGACAGCAGGATGTTTTGCTGGCCACTCTAGTACTGCAAAAGACTTACTGCAGTTGCTTCATTCTTTCTAATATCTGATCCCTACCTGATCTTTCTCTTCCTCTTCCAGTGATGCTTCCAAGGACAGTATCACTCCACATAAGGGGCAGGGGAAGACGGGTGGGTGCTGAAAGATGCACGAAGAGGATGATGAAGTTCCCAGGACATACTAGGGAGTGGGGAGCTTGGTGAGCTTGCAGGAGGGAATGCCTATTGTTCATCAGCTCCTCTAGGGCCAGCTCACTAAAGAAGGGTTAAATAAGCCCAAGTTGCCAATCCTGTTTTGAACTTCCTTTAACACGTCTTTGCCTCTTTCTACACTCAAAGAAATCTGGTAAAAAAGAATACACATAACCCAACCTCCCCTGCCCCCCACCAAGTCCACCCCCACCAGCTTGCATATAACCTCAGGTCTCCACAGAAATCAACGTGCCTCTGTCTGTCTATAACAAGATTATTATATTTTTTTTATTAACAGCGTTTCATGAGATCTCACGGTGAATGAGCAGTCAGGTTGAGAGGAGATTTTTAAAAAGCCTTTTTCTGAGGCCGAGGGAGCAGGTCAAATGTTGAAAGAATTTCCTTAAATGTCATCAATGTGCTCCTTGACTTGCAGGTGAGGCTGGAAGCTTTGCTAACCAAACCAGTTTTTCAAGCTAGAGATTTAGGCTAGGAAATGACTGCAATAGATCTGTCTATGTAGTGGAAACTATCTGTTTACAGGAATTGCTAGAATCATTGTTTCAATAATAGTCAACTGACATGAGCAACTCACATTTGGATCCTGAGGAAGAAGTCCCACTTGAAGTGGACCGTGATGCTCCCTTCATGGAGAAAACCCCTTTGCCTCTACGAGTTGTTGTCACTGCCACACGGGGACGTTTGAGTGGAATCACTGCACGGGGCGGTGGGGGGACACGGCCATGGTAATCAAACAACCTAGAAAAGATTAAGTCAGCTGGACTCCATAAAACCTTCTGTGATTTCATGTCATGGGAGCTCTGTCAACTAAATTTGCATGTTATCTGAGAAAATTACCCTTTGAAACTGTAATCACTTTATATCAAGTCAAATTAAATTTCAAGGACCTATGCACATTAAGTGCCTTATTCAGATTTCAGTCACACGCTGGTGCACAGACCAGATCAGATTTTTTGTGTGTCATTCAAATGAAGGATGTATTACAGGACTCTGCTATTTGCCGTATGGAAAATCCATAACTTGCTTTCCACAGGTCCACATAATTTCATTGTTCACAGCAAACAGCAGTACATTTTGTTGTGACATTTCAGCTCCTTTATTACATGCATGGCTTAAATTCTAGTTTTCTATCTGCTGTTCTTAAAGATGTAAAAGAAAGTACAAAAGAACTTTCCTGAAGACAACCATCACCATAAAGCAATATCCTGCAGTTTCTGAAATAACAAGAGTCTTTGCATATGTTCTTTGTATTGCAGAATGAATTGGTGTAGAAATACTAAAATACCATTTTTTAAAATTAAGCATGCTTAATTAAGAAAAAAATAATGTTCAGACCAAAACCACTGTAGCAGGCAGATATTCAGACTTTTTACCAAAGGTACTCTATGACAAAAATGAACTTTTGTTCCCAAACAGAATAGCCTAATCCTAAAGATACAGTTATCAATAACAGATAACTAACCTGTGTACAGGGAAATAAAGGCAGTAAAAAAGCTAATCAAGCTACAGATATATTTAGAACACAAATTATATGGGTTCTGGATATGATAGGTCAGGAGAAGAAAGTTCCAAAAACAAAGATTTACAGTTCAGAGTCTGAAGGAGATGGATAAGCAACATCCTCATAAAATGTTCTCAAATTTACTTGCAACTAGTAATTATGGGAATTTATAACCGCATGCTTAATTTTCACAGTTGTGAATACTGCCACCCAGCTGGGCAGATATATACACATTTGAAAACATACACAAGAAACAGTAATTCACTCACCACAGCACCTAACAGTATGATGAACAGAACACAGAGTTAAATTTAAACCTTCTAACCCATTTTTTGGTAAGTACATACCTAGTACTTAAATCAAAACACACTTCTGTCTGTACTGTAATCCTACAGACAGTGTAACCATCTCCCTCCTTTTCCATAGCTGCCTACAAAATGTGACACAGAGATCCTGTTACACTCAATGACTGAAATCCATGGCCTCAAATATTCCCACCAATGAGCAGCTTCTAGCCATTGTTAGCATAACTAAGGAATTGTGTGTGAAAATGGACACTAAACCATTTTTTTCTACTTTTAATACAAATATTAGTGTTTATTGCCAGTCATCATTTATCATATTAAATGATCTGCAGGTTGGTCATAAACTTCTTTTTGATATTACTGGAAAAAAATGTTTGTGAATGCTATGAGCTGTCATGCAAAAGTTCATAATATGATTATTAGTCTGAACGTAATATTTTTTTAGCTTTCAATTGTTTGTGTTTAGATAATAGAGAAAAAGGTGAAACTATGCTTTTTTTCTCGAAATATATGAAAGAACATTTATCTAAATGACTGTTATTAATCTATTCCTACTTTTGTTTGCAAAATTTTGCAAACCTTTTGGCCTTGTTTTTTTTTTGTCCTGTTCTGTATATTCCAATAATATGCTTTCTTTTAAAAAACAGTGCTTCCATTTATAGTTTTGAAGCACCATGCCTGTTTTTCTTGTGCCTGTAATATGATAAATGATAAAGAGAAATGCTCAGTTTCAAAGCAATTTTTTGTCCCAATAATCACTAGTGTGCATACAACTATGCCTTTTCTTTCAGTCACTTTTCTAAATTTACAGTTCTGATCTTACCAATCTATCTTCATATAGATGTTATTTTAAAGAACTAACCATTCCTGACACCCTTTTTTGACCTCATATGCAGGTTTTCTACCATAGAAGTTCTGCTGTCTTAATTCTAAAAGACTTCTAAATTAAAAAAAAAATAATTATACTATTGAATAGACTTATGGATACATTTCACTGTCAGTGGTTTTACGTAACAATACAATTATCAAGAGAGACACCAAGAAACAACGCTTAACGTCCGATATGGTTTTTTTTAAATTTTTGCGTTTTTTTTTTTTTTTTTTTTTGTGAAAATTAACCATTACAGTTTATAATTTCTGCTACTCATAAAATACGGAATTGAGGAAAAAATTAGATATATACCTTTAATATTCATGTGGCATAGATGAGAAACACTATTCTGTTTAAAAACATGCAATTCCACAGATGAAATTCAGAGCTGTAACCTTGGAAAAAATAAATAAAAGCCTATGGAAATTAACTTTTTACGGGACACGTGCTACTCCTACTGCAAAGGCTGGACTGAACAGGATTAAACTGCTTTGATGGCTTTTACTTCCTATGTTCATAGGCTATGCTATATCTCACTATTTCTCACTATTTCTTGTCCAAAGAGGGCATGGTGGTTTACATGCAAAAGTAAAACTATTGGCTCAAATTCAACCCATATCAGGAGAAAACAAATATGAAAATATTGTTTCTACATTTTTCCTACTATGTTCCTAAGCAGAAAGGTATACAGCACATGGTAGCTTAACTTCTGGGTGTTGTTGTCCCCTGCTACTGTCCATTGCTTTACACAGAAGAAATATGTTCAGATTAGAAACCTGTGAAAAAACCTGTGAAATATGTTCAGAAGAAACCTGTTCAGATTAGAAGAGGCTGGTGGAGCAATGCTTTGTTCCTCTCTGGCTCACTTGTCCTGTGCCAAACCAAGGTGCTGTAATGCAAAGACACAGCACTGCTGGATAACAAGTGGGTTATCTGTGATCATTCTTACTACTCCTGTGTTGTGGGGATTCTGCTACGTCTGAATAAATACATTTTCACAGTGCTGAGCTGGGCTGTGTGCAACTACTCAAGGCAGAATCTCCAATTGCTCAGGCATCCAAATTATTTTTGTCCTACAGGAACACACTATTCAGATTGTGCTTTTGCTTCTCTCAAAGTTCTTCTGGACTTCCAAACGTTCTTGGAACATTCTTGAGGAGACATTGTATCTTTTAGTACACATAGATGAAAATACAAAGCCAGGAACATCATACTGAAGAATTTTGCAGCCACTATACATCCCAGTGAAAGTAAGCCTGGAAGAACTCTACTAAACTACCATTAAACTGTTCAGCACAGCAAATACCACAAAAGCTCTTAGAGAAGGATAAGATCTAAGGACCTGTTTAGTAAGCATATATTTGGTGGTGGTGACCTTCTCTGCCTGATATTAAAAATATTCTTCTGATACACGATAGAAATAATGCAATGAATAATTGATAAAATCCGAATTGGCCTGTTTAACCAAACAATGGGATTATATTATCAGCAAACATGAAAAATTATGTAGGATGTACAAAAATATAGGCACACATACCGATTGTAGAAATCATCTCTGTAGTAATCATAATCAAAGACATAACCACTGTGGAAAAACACAGAAAAACAAGAATGAACTGGCTCATAGGAAAATACACAACGATCAAAACTTCTGTGGTAATATTGGCTTACTCTCAAATTTCTATCCCTTCTTCAAAGTCCTTCCACTTCTTTTCTACATTGACAAACATAATGTACATTGTACACAGTACAAATACTGTGTACAATGTACATTATGTTTGTCAATGCTGTTGTCAGCTATCATGTATATTTGGAAATGTGAAGTCTGGGGCACACAGAACTGTGTAAACAGTGGACAGCACACACAGATGGGATTTAACACAGTGAGACATCTCCGTAATTAGAGGATCATTATAGTGTAATTCTCTGAGTGATCAAATGAAGTTAGCATTCCAAAACTGACACCCTCTTCTTTTCTGATCTAACATAGCATCATCAGTAGAGTTGGAAGACAGTTAAATACATGAAAGAGTGGGAAATGAGTGAGAAGGTGAGCTAAGACAGTTACTTCGATTTAGAGAAACATGAAAAGGATTGGACTTCTTCCTGGTCCTTGAGTCCACCAAATTGTTTTCATCAAAAAAGAGAAAAAGTAAAATGTTAAAAAAATAAATGCTGAATAAGTGTTACAGGGATGCATTTCCTCTCAGGTTCAGGAAGGAATATACATACCAATCTGAGAAAAAACAAGCACCATCAAGGGAAACAAACAAATATGAAATTACAGACATCCATGAGAAAATTACTTTTGAGCTGTCAATAGCAAAGTCAATCCCAGATTCCTGGTTTTGCATTCCATTTGCAACTTTCTACTTTTGTGGTGAAGAAATAACAAAGAAGCCTTATCTATCTCATAAAAAAAAGAAAAAAGAAAAAAGCCCCAAACCAACAAACCAATAATGGCTCTGCATGGAAAAGTCACAAGGATTTATTTATACTCTGCCTAGTAACATGCTCTTTTACTGTTTTGAGAAGGACAATGATGAATAGTAAAGGTAAGAAACATGAAGAAAATATCACAAAAGAAGGAGAAGCTGTAAATGAGAAAGAAAAAGATAGAAAAGACAGAGGTAATAAGTACAAAACACAGAAGAAAACTTTCCCTGAAAATAAAGAGACACTATAGAATGATAGTGTGATTTTGATTGGAAAGGACCTTAAAGATCAACTACACATCAAAGAAGCTTTTCACAGGGAATGGGCTTGTGGATAATTTCTGCTCTTGAACATTGAGCCAAGTGGGGTTTTTAGTGCATACTTTGAAGAATGTGTCAAGAATTCTACCAGAGCAGGTCAGGCACAATTTCTGTCTCTGCCCCACTTCTTTCACATGCAAGTGCCCAATTGCTAATAATAGAATAAGTTGTACTGTCTGTCTGCACCATATTGCAGTAGAAAATCATGAGAGCTGCAGGCAACTGTGGTCCTTTCTTTAATTTATTTGAGAAAAGAAATCCTAAGATACATTTCATGTGAAACACTGAATTGAACAAGCCTGAGAGACTAGAACCCAACAGCAGGAAAGCTGTGTGTGCCAGAGGATCTAAAATATCATTAAATAATAGTAGACTGTGTATAGTGATTATGTGTCTGTATCTTAAGATGCATCACTGTATCTTAATGTAAAACTAGCAATTTTTTTTCTGAACTATATGACAGCTCTTATTTTGTCTTTCACTTCAGTCTGTATGGAACTAAGAAGAAGCAGGTATAAAAGCTATTATTTTATTTACAGTTATTCATAGCTTCTTAGTGGTTTTATTTAGCTGAAAGATTAATAGCTTCAGTAAGCCCATACTTAATATTCAATGTGTGTTTTTAAGTAGATGATAACAGACAATTTGAAGAAATAATATTAAATTTAAAAGCCCTGTCACATGAAAGTGTTGCCTGGAGTTGACATTTATTTAATTTGCATGAAGACCAAACAAATTCACTTTTACAAGTTGAAGACCATGAAGCTGGTGAAGGATAATTCACTGGCACCAGCTAGAGTAAGGCTGAAGGATGACTATATTTTATATGTAGTAACTCAGCTCTGTCTGTTACTACAGAACAGAATAAGGACTGCTGGCCCCTCAATGGGTATAAAAATTTTATATTGAATGATGATGTTTCATCTGTAATAACATGTTGAAGAGATTATAGTGTGAAAACAACCAGTACATCTCTCCATCTGCAGCCATAATTGTTCCTACTTCGGCATGTCAAGGTACAGACATGGTCAGTGCTGCAGTACAACAACAGCAGAAAATTAGCACAGATAATCACTGGCACTGAGATCAAGGTGACTGCAAGGCTCTTAACCTCTTGAGAGTTATTCCTTAGCAACCCAACAGCCTGTGTAATGGAGGCCACAGGTAAATCACTCATACAGTGTTGAATACCAAATACTCAGCAGGTCAGAAGCAGAGAAAGGTTTAAACAAACCTGTGAACTGGTGGAGTCAGCAGTTTCCTAATGGCACTGTAAGCAGGCAGATTGCTTACCCACAAACATGTGCCATCTCAACAATATTAACAATAGAACTGCGTGCCTGATGCTGATATTAATGCAGTAGACAGTAAAAGACACTGCTTTACATGTGTCTCACAATGAGGCAAAGAAAACTCATCAATAAAATGTGCTTCTACTAAGCAAAAGTCATGGTTCCTTTTCCTAATTTAGTATCACCAAGACAATCTTGTACAAGCTGTCTTTTTTGGTTTCACTAAGCACTATGCATATCTTTAAAACTGTGTATGTCTGAAGAATAAATGTCTCCCCCACGACCATATTTTCAGAGCTATGATGCTCTGTGTATTCAAAGTTGCTGTGCATATCAGCAGTTGCACATGTGCCAAGTAGGCAAATAGAGTATTATGCTTCTGCATCTTTGAAATAAACCTATGGATGTTATTATGTCTTTATATACCTGATGTTGAAATCATATTGCTACAAAAGTACAATCTTTTTTCCATTCTCTATGCTATGCCCTCAAAAGATGTTTATAAACTAATGATCACATCCCATTTTAACTTAGCTCCAAACATCAGTGGTATAACTGACTTCTGTGGGGTTATTCTAACTTTAGTAGAGGTAATGCAGAACAGAGCAGAAATAGCTTTTGTTATTTTCCTGTCAACAAGACTTTTCTCCTATTTAAATCAACCTTAGCTAATATTGCTTTTTCTTTCCACAGGTACAAAGATATTTAAAGCATAAATGTTGACAAACCAGGCATAATGTATCTTAATTTAATTGACAGTGCTATTGCCATTTATACTGTCAGTTTTTTCTCTTGTTGTGAGGCAGGAATAAAAATATTAAATATAAAAGCAATATTTGTTCAATCAAACACTTTTTGGGAAGCACATATCAACTTAATAGTTGAAACTAGTATTCCAGTCATTTGTGAAATCATTTCTTGTGTCATGGGAAAAGAGTGTTAGAAATTGCTCTTGTTCAGAGCAAAAGAGAATCAGTCTAAACTGATATGATGTTAAAAAGGAAGTCAGTGGGGGTAACTAGATGATTTAGAGAAGAAGCATCGAGAGATGGAAACTTTCCCTGTTAGAAAATCAATCAGATGGAAGTTACTTTCATAAGCTGTTAAAAAAAGGGTGGAGATTTCAGTCCACTCTTCAGTGGATGGTTACCTACACCCTCAGACATGAATCAAATTGATGGGCTGAATTCCACCTTTACTTTAAAGAAAATTCTATTTTAGGTAAGGGTGAGAATGCTGTTTTGCAGTTCAGGCTGTATATTCTGCAGAGAAAGTGAACATTCTCCAGACCCTGCTTTTTTCTGACAGACTTACCATCAAAAGTCAAATTATTTCAGTGATTCTTTCAACTAGGAAAAAAGAGGGGGCTGGAAGAGGAAAAATAATTGTGGAGAAGTATTTTACATTCATTTCCATAAAGAAGATATGAGGGCTAATAGGTATAGTTAAAAAGACAGTTTAACACCAAAATCCCCAATCACTTGTCCCAAAATGCCAAACAATTGAACAACACCTACTATTTGTATATTTCAATTAATGATTAAATTGCATAGTAATTTTGTAACCATAAGTTAATAAAAGTTTTTTGGGTTTTTTTCCCTAATTCTGCACATTTGTTCAATTAATAAGACCAAGATATAATTTTTCCTGAGTGGGGAAAGGATAAGGAATTAAGTTTCAAAAAGTGCAGCATGGAAAGTAATACTTTAAGGGGATATTTTTTTTCTGCAAAACTGAAAAATTTTTTCCAGTTCTAATCTGAAGAGGTGCATTTTGTCCAAGGAGGACATGTATACATAAAAAAGCTGACATTCAGTACACCATTTTCCATTGAAGTATCTTTCTGCAGGCACTAGGCAGAATTCATTTGTAATATGATTAGGCTGTATTTTTTCTGTCTCTAGATATGTTCCTTTTCTGCTCTCATCCTCTCTTCCAAGAACTCTCATCCCAGTGAAATGCATTTTGGGAAAACTGTTGAACTTATTGTGCAACCTGAATTTTAGACAAATCTTCGACAAATATTCGACAAGCTGCATATACACATTCAGGTAATTAAAACACGAAGACATTTTCCTGTAGAGGATTAGGCACAGCTTGTGAAGCAAAGAACAAAGACATTGAGATCAATAGTCAGACTCTGGGGATCACCTGGTTTCAGAGCTGCTTATGGAAGCAAGACAGACAATAGTGATGCCGGCAAAACTAACCCCCAACAGTTTTCTGTACAGCTAAGTATTAGAATTCCTCCTAACTAGAACTACTTACTGCAGCTGCAGGCACAGCTTATGCTTAATGTTATCCTGATACTCTTTAGAAACAAAACAGTAGCTTTTTAATGTAAAGATACCTGTGTAAATCTACAAAATATCTCCCCAACCTTTCTCCTCCTGTTGCAGAACTATATTTTTGTTATCTGAAGTAATGACCTGTTATTTATGTTTTCTGTGGGAACACTTCACAGTAAGGCAAAGAAAAATATTTGGCCCAACCATTTCCCAAGGTGTCCTTTAATTGTATAGTCTGACTGGAGAGTT